GACATCCCTGACTCCGGATCCGCCCTACTTTGGGGAAACTCGTAGGTAGGACCTGGAATGTCCGCCTTGCTTTTCAAGCCCCGCTGATGCCAATTTCCGCCCTACTTTTCTGTTGCTGTTTCCGCCCTGCTTCTGTGGCTTTCCGCCCCACTTCATGTTGGGTGCAGAAAGTTCCGCCCTACTTGTTCGGCTTCTTCTAGGCGGATCTCCGACGCAGTTTTAAGTTGGGAAAAAGCCAAAGTAGGGCGGATCTGGAGTCAGGGATAACTACGTCAGGTTCGTGTCGTGACGACCCCGGCGTTGGTTTCTGACTCCGCGTGGATCGTTCAACCTTGAACGATCGGCGACTGTGGATCGCTCGATCGTTCCATATAGGCCGATTCTGGGCCACTGGCGGCGTTCAACCTTGAACGCCCGCGGCGGGGTCGCCGCCGGTCGACACGACGCGAACCTACCGTAAGTTGAGTGGCTGCGGCATGGCCGCCGGGAGACACGCCGGCCACGGCGACTGCAGCTGGCCAGGAGCGCGCCCCCTGCGGAGGCGGCTCCCCGGAGCGGGCGGCCACCGGCCCACCCGCAGCCCCTGAGTGCATCGGGCGTCCCCGGAGCCCATGGAGGAGGCGGAGGAGGGAAAAGCCGACAAGAAGCAGAGTTCCAAGCCGCTTGTCCCGGCCGCGTCGCCGACACGAGGGCGCACAGCTCACGAACCTTCCCTGTCGACCCGCGGCTCGACGTCGTACTGCTGGTCACCCCAGTCGTGCATGCCCTCGTGCACGCCCTGGCGGCTGCGACTGCGGGTGCTGGGGTGGACCGCAGCGTGCCGCTGGTAGTCCGCACGAGCGGAGGCGTCGGTGCTGGCGTCGGAGCTGGCGTAATAGGGGCTGGCGTTTATGCTGGCGTCGGTGCTGCCGTTGGTGCTGGTGTAGGCGCTGGCATTGGCGCCGGCGTAGGCGCCAGCGGTGGTGCTGGCGACGCTGCTCACGTTGGCGCTGGGGGTAGTCGACGGCGTTCGTGCTGGTATAGGAGCTGGCGTTTGGGCTGGCGTCGGTGCTGGCGTCGGAGCTGGAGGGCTGGCGCTGGTGCTGGCGTCGGTGCTGCCGCAGGTGCTGGTGCAGGCGCTGGCACTGGTGCCAGCGTGAACGCTGGCGTTGGTGTTGGCTACGGAACTGGCGTCGGCGCTGGGGGTAGTCGATGGCCGTGGTGCCAGCGTAGGCGCGGACGATGACGCTGGCGTCGGCGCTGGCGTAAACGCCGCCGCTGGTGCTGGCTTCGGTGCTGGCGTCGGTTCTGGTACAGGAGCTGTCATTGGTGCCCGTGCAGGCGCCAATGCTGATGCTGGCGTCGGTGCTAGCGTCGGCGCTGGCGTAAGCGCTAGCGTTGGGGCTGTCGTCAGTGCTGGCGTCGATGCTGGTGACGCTGGCGCTTGTGAAGGCGAAGACGCTGGCGTTGGTGCTGGTGTCAGCGCTGGCGCCGGAGCAGGTGTAGGCGCTGAAGTTGGTGCCCGCGTAGGCGCAGGCCCTCGTGCTGGCGTCGGTGCTGGCGTCGGCGCAGGCGTAGGCGCTGGCGTTGGTGCTGGCGTCAGTGCTGGCGTCAGTGCAGGTGTGCAGTGGGCGCTGGCGCCGGTGCCGGCGTAGGCGCAGGCACTGGTGCTGGCGTCAGTGCTGGAGTAGGCGCTGGTATAGGCGATGGCGTTGGTGCCCGCGTAGGCGCAGGCATTGATGCCGGCGTCGGTGCTGGCGTCGGCACTGGCATAGGCGCCGACGTTCGTGCTGCCGTCGGTGCTGGTGTAGGCGCTGGCGTTGGTGCCATCGTTGGTGTCAGCGTTGGCGCTGGCGTTGGTGCTGTGATGGAAGTGGGCGGGAGGTGTGGCCAAAAAGGGTTGCCACGCAAGCACTGCTCAGGAAATACAGTGGTGCAAGCTGTCGTGTAGCAAGGGAGGTTTCGTGATTGCACTGCTGACGTTTTTGGCTCAAGCGGAAAACGTGTTTGTCAACATCCCTACATATCAAGAGCTAATGCATACTAATGCTGGCGTCGGTGCTGGTGTAAGCGGAGGTCGCAACGGTCTGGCCGCCCATCAGCCCAAGACGGACGCAACAATGTCGAATCAGGCAGGGACGTAGGCGCAGGCGTTGTTGCTACCGTCCGTGCCAGCGTCGGCGCTGACGGAGGCTACGGCGTCGGCACTGGCGTAGGTGTAGGCGTCGGAGTTGGCGTTGGCGCTGGGGCAGGAACTGTCGTTGGTGCCAGCGTGGGCGCCCGCGTTAGTGTGGGCGTCGATGCTGGCGTCGGTGCTGGTGTAGGCGGTGGCCATGACGGTCCGGACGCACATCAGCCCAAGCCGGACGCAATAAAATCGAACCAGGCAGGGACTTAGGCGCAGGCGTTGTTGCGTCCTTGCCAGCGTCGGCGCTGAAGGAGGCTCCAGTGTCGGCGTTGGCGTAGGCGTAGGCGTTGGAGTTGGCGCCAGTGCTGGTGCAGGAACTGTCGTTGGTGCCAGCGTGGGTGCTGGCGATAGTGCTGGCATCGGTGCTGGCGTTGGTGCCAGTGTAAGCGGCGGTCGTAAAGGTCTGAACGCCCATCAGCCCAAGACGGACGCAACAAAGTCGAACCAGGCAGGGACGTAGGCGCAGGCGTTGTTACTACCAGCCGTGCTGGCGTCGGCGCTGGCGGAGGCTCCGGCGTCGGCACTGGCGTAGGCGTAGGCGTAGGCGTTGGAGTTGGCGTCTGCACTTGGGCAGGAACTGTCGCTGGTGCCAGTGTGGGCGCCAGCGTTAGTGCTGGCGTCGGTGCTGGCGTCTGTGCTGGTGTACGCGGTTGTCGTAGCGGTCTGAACGCCCATCAGCCCAAGCTGGACGCAACACGGTCGAACCAGGCAGGGACGTAGGCGCAGGCGTTGTTGCTACCGTCCTTGCCAGCGTCGGCGTTCGCAGAGGCTCCAGCGTCGGCACCGCCGAAGGCTTAGGCGTTGGAGTTGACGCCGGTGCTGGGGCAGGAACTGTCGTTGAAGCCAGCGTGGGCGCTGGCGTTGGTGCTGGCGTCGGTGCTGGCGTCAACGCTGATGTAGGCGGTGGCCATGACGGTCTGGACGCCCATCAGCCCAAGACGGACGCAACAAGGTCGAACTGGGCAGGAACGTAGGCGCAAGCGTTGTTGCTACCGGCCCTGGTCGGCACTGGCGTAGGCGTAGGCGTTAGAGTTGGCGTCGGTGCTGGGGCAGGAGCTGTCGTCGGTGCCAGCGCCGCCGTGTTCCAGGCCACGACGCTGGCGCTGGTGCTGGTGTCAGTGCTGGCGTCGGAGCAAGTGTAGGCGATGGCGTTGGTGCCCGCGTAGGCGCAGGCCTTCGTGCTGGCGTCGGTGCTGGAATCGGCGCAGGCGTAGGCGCCGGCGCTGGTGCTGGCGTCGGTGCTGCCGCTTGTGCCGCTGCAGGCGCTGGCACTGGTGCCAGCGTAGGCGCAAGCGTTGGTGCTGGCGCGGTTGCCAGTGTAGTCGCTGGAGTTGGTGCCGGCGTAGGTGGCAACGTTGGTGCTGGCAACAGTGCTGACGTCGGCGCTGATGTAGACGCTGGTATGTTGCCAGCGAGGGCACAATCGTTGGGGCAGTCGTCGGTGCTGGCGTCGGTGCTGGTATAGACGCTGGCGCTTGTGCTGGCGAAGACGCTGGCGTCAGTGCTGGGGTCGCTACTTGCTGCAAGCCAAACTGCATGACCAATTGGGCATGGCCTGGGCGTGGCACCAGGCGCGGCTTTGTACAATCGTACAGGCGATGACGGATTGGAGCAACCGCCCGAATTTCCGCCCTGGGCGGGCACGGAGACCCCGACATCAGCTCGGAGAAAATAAATCGCACCACAACGCAAGACGCAACGAACATGTAACGAATTGTGTTGCTGTGGTGTGATAGAGCTGACGCTGGAATCGGTGCTGGGGTCGTAGCCTGATCTGGCGTCGGAGTGGGGTCGGAGAAGCAAGAGCGGGATTCGGAGTGCTAGAGTTGTCGCCGGACTCGGTGCCGGCGACAGTGCCGCTGGCATCGGTGCCGGAGTCGGTACCGGCGACGTGCTGTAGGCATCGACGCTGGAGTCGGTGCTGGCGTGGGCAGGGTTGTGGTGCTGCTCATGCTGGACGTGGTCACGGTGGAGGTGCTGGTCTGGTTTGTGGTGCTGCCCATGCTGGACGTGGTCACGATGGAGGTGCTGGTCAAGATTGTGGTGCTGCACGTGCTGGATGTGGTCGTGGTGGTGCTGGTCATGGTTGTGGGTTTGCTCATGCTGGATGTGGTCACGGTGGAGGTGTTGGTCAAGGTTGTGGCGCTGCGCATGCTGGATGCGGTCACGGTGGAAATGCTGCGCAGTGCTTTGGCGCTGCACATGTTGGACTTGGTCACGGTGGTAGCGCTGGTCATGGTGGCAGTTGTCATGGTGGCAGCGGTCCAGCGTGCGGTGCTCTGCTAGAGCACTGCTAGAGTGGAGATCAGGTTGAGGAGGAGGCGGAGGAAGAGCAAGAGGAATATCACTGGAGGCGGAGGGAAAGGCAGGGGACAAGAGAGAGGACGGTGAGGAGAAGGGAAGAGGGGCAACGGAACATGGAGGAGGATGATCAGGAGGATGAAACTACCAAGATAAGGAGGAAAGGGCAGGGTTACGCCACGTAATCAGAAGAGGAGGCAGAGAAAACGAGTCTGGCTTTTGGTGTCATAGCACTGGTGTTGCGGTCATCTGCAGCGAGCAGTCTCGCCCCTATGATCTGCACCCTGGTGCTCTGGCATTTGGAAAATACCCGTATGGACCCGGACATCCGACGCTTCGATCTTTTCAATGCGTGGGCCCCAGGATCTTTCCCAGGTGTCATCCAAGATGATTTTTAAAAGTCTCGCAACCCGAAGCCGGTCTTCAGAGGCCAAGACATGACGACACGCCGACCGCCTTGACTTGTTCGAGCCGCTGGATGTCTGGGGACGGGCCAGGGAGGAGGAGGAGGAGGGAGGAGGAGAAGACAACCTCATCGACGGATGGTTCCGCCCTTCGTGTCGATGCCGATCTCCTTCAGCGCGTTCTGCTGAGCCCTCTCGGCCATCATGTAGCCGTTCTGCTGGGCGCACATCGGGGAGATGCCCGCGCACTTCTGGAGGAGTTCTTGGTACACCTTGCCTTGGTACAGTTGGAGCAGGCAATGGGAGGAGGAGGAGGAGGAGGAGGAGGAAGAGGAGGAAGAGGAGGAAGAGGAGGAAGAGGAGGAAGAGGAGGAAGCGGAGGACCAGAGTAAACCCAATCACCGTTAACTATGCAGCAATACACCCTCCAGTCCCAAGTCTCTTCATCATAAGTATCTACGCGCTTTGATTTGACTACACGAGTCGCCACCCTGCAAGACCAGCACACGTGGGCCAACCACTCAGGCGAGAGCCCCGTTTTGAAAAGGAGTTGCTGTGCATCCTCCAGCATATCAGATGGAATGCAAAAAGGGTGACCATGCAATTCAGCAGTGTGTCCAACGATAGTCCCGTTCAAAGCAACGGCCGCCACGCATCTGTGTAACTGTTGCGTAACTTAACACTTGTGGTCACGTGCTTCGGGGAAGTCTCAAGTGGGAACCCCATCTTCAAAAGGAGGCGTCTTCCATCCGTGCTGCTGTTACACTTGTCCAAGTTTCCTGTATACCAAACGAGCAAGCCCGAAGCGAAGGCCAATGTCTTCAAACGAGTTGTCCTACATCTTTGTAGCGGTTATCAAATTTGAAGACCAACGCACACGGCGCTAAAACAAGAACACCATGTTTAAGGCGACCCCGCCCATCATTGCAGCTGTTGCTCGCGTGTTTGACGATTGTGCGCATCGCTGAAGCAGTAGTGCAATTTTGAAAACCACCCTCCTCCATCCTCGAACCGGCTGCACATTTTCAGACGACTGTGCGCGGCGCCAGAGCGAGATCTCCAGTTGAAGAGGAGCCGCCCTCCATCCTTGAAACTGTTACAAACTTTGACTAGGAATGCGCGCGGCGCTAAGGCGAACATGCAAGTATGGTGACGGACCTCTATATATCCAAAAGCTGTTGCAAGCTTTTCACTCGAATGTGCGCGGCGTTAGGGCGAGAGCGCCCTTCTGGAAAACCAACCATCCATCTTTGAAACTGTTGCAAACTGTTCGGACGACTGTGCGCGGCGCTCTGGCGAGAGTCCCGTTCTGAAAACTACTCCCCTCCATCCTTACATCTGTTATACATGTCGAAGGCGAATGTGCACGGTTTTTAGGCGAGAAGCCCATTTTGAAAACTACCCTTCCTTCATTTTTAACTAGCTGCAGCACTCAAACTTCACAACCATAACGGTTGAAGACATCTCAAGCGAAACGCCCAGCCCGCTATACCGACACGTCTAGGGGGAAGGAGTTATGCACGAGGGAATGTATGAGGAGAAGAGGTGGGGGAGGAGAGGAGGATGAGATGATGGCGCACGAAGAGGGAGGGGGAGAAGAAACAGGAGAAGGATCAGGAGGAGGAGGAGGAAAAGGAGGATGAGGAGGAGCGGAGGATGATATGATGAGCACGAGGAGGGAGGAGGAGCAGGAGAAGAAGGAGGAGGATGAGGGTCTGGACGAATCTGACTGATGAGTGAGTGAATAAACCATGCCCTGTGGCCGATCCATGAAATTAGAGACCTGTAATCGCTTAGAGAACTCGACGCCATCCGTGCTCCAGTACGGGATTGCCCCACGTTCGGAAGTGGGTAAAAGCACTAACCAGAAAAGAACGTTGAGAGTAAATTGGGTAGCCGCCCGCCCCTCCAAGAGGAAGGAAGAGGAATAACCGTTTGACGCTAGGAATGGGAAAGCGCCTGAAGTATCCGCCACCGTGCCTCTGGCACGACGTGGAGTGCCTCTAGGCTCATGCAGCACTGCGAGGTAGACGCTGTGCTGCTGCTGCTGCTGCTGCAGCGAGAATGGTAAGTTGTTCAGGGCCCGGGTCAATCGTTTCCCAAGGTTTTCTGGGATGGCCCCCGTGAGTTCTGAGGTGTTTCCTGCGCCTCCTGTGGAAGCTGTGACTCCCCCCCCCAAAACGACCTCCCGAACCCTCCCATGAGTCCAAGCGGGCCCCGAGTCGCGGAAAGATCCCTCCAAGACGCCCAAGATGGCCCGAGACGCATCCAAGACACCATGCGAGGCCTCCAGGAGGCCTCCCAAGAGGGCCCCACGAGGCAAGCATCATTTACTCTCCTAGGATGTTTGAAGGATTTGGGCGTTCTCGTCTTTTCGGGTTTCCGTCGCTTCAAGACGGCCCGAGAGGCCCCAAAGACCACCCCAAGACGGCCCAAGAGGGCCCAAGAGGCCTCAAAAGAGGGCCCCCAGACGGCCTAAGAGCGCTCCAAGACGGCCTAAGAAGCGCCCAAGATGGCCCAAGAGGGCCCCAAGACTGCCTAATAAGGGAACCGAGGGAGGGAACACGAGCCGGAAATCCGAGCCTTCCGCCCGTAGAGGCCCCCAGGAGGCCCCAAGAGGCGCCCAAGAGGCCCCCCAAAGGCCCCAAGAGGCTTCAAAACGGCCCCAAAGAGGCTTCAAAACTGCCTCCAGGAGGCCCCCGAAAGGCCACACACGAGACCCCAAACGAACACCCAACAAGCTTTATACTCACAACCCAGGCACGGTGGCCGAAGGCCATTTGACCCGCCGCCCCCTGTGCTTGTCACAGGGGTGCCTGGCGTGCTAGATCCTGCGGTCTTTGGATTTGTTCCCACAGAACTCCACCTGGGGCTTCGGCCTGTCCCGGCGGCCACCCGAAAACGACCGCAAACTATACCTTTCAATACCTTTCTCGTTCTAAGATGGCTTCTAAGACGGCTCAGATGGCCCGAGATGGCCTCTAAGTTTGCCCAAGATGGTCAGTTACTTCGCCGCTACGAAAGTTCGGCCAGAATGCAGCGCCTCCCGTAAGGCGACGGGCCCCCGGTACAACGCTGTCAGTGGCGTTGCGCCCGCGACAAGAGAGGAGACGTCGAAGGGGCCTGTTAGGCCGTGGGGGCCCAATACAATGGTCTGTTTAAGCATTGTTTTGCTCAAGTCTCGGACGAAGCCGCCCTTTTCGAATTCGAGCCCGATGGTTTCGAAATAAAGCCGAGATTGCTGTTTGAAGGAAGTCCTGGGCGGGCGCGCGATTTCGAAATCGAACCCGAAAGTTTCGAAATCGTTCGAAATTGCTTCTGTGGAGTCCCAAGCGAAATCCACATTTTCGAAATCTCGGATCAGAAACTTAAACATTTGAATGCCACATGGTGTGGCAATTTCGAAACGACGGTTTCGCTTGAGACTTTTTTGTTTGTTTCTTGCTTGTTTCTTTTCGTATATATAAAAGCAAACAACTATTTCTAACGATTTCGAAAATCTCGTGTTTGATTTCGAAATAGCGCTCCCGCCCAATACTTCCTCCAAACTAGGATTCGAAACATGTCTGGTTCGATTTTGAAATGGCGCTCCCGCCCAAAACCTCCCCCGAAACAGACTTCGGAGTCTTCCGGGTTCGATTTCGAAATGGCGCTCCCACCCAGGACTTCCCGAATTCGACACACTTTGGCTTGATTTCGAAATGGCCCCCCCGCACAGGACTTCCTCGAAATAAAGGTCGGCACTTCTTCAGCTCGACTTTGCAATGGCGCTCCCGCCCAAAACGGGTCTTCGTGGAAGCACGAGGCGGGTCAAAACTTTCGTAGCGCTGATGCATGGCCTCCAAGACGGCCCAAGAGGGTCCAAGATGCCTCGAAGTCCGCCCACGAAGTCCCCAACATGGTCCAAAAGGGTCCAAGAGACCCCCAAGAGGTCTCTAAGACGGCCCAATATGCCTCCAAGAGGGCCTCCAGGAAGGCCCGTTGAGGCCCAAATCATTGATATCCCTACATATATATATATATACAAACGATTGTGGCATTTGCTTCTTTATAACCTTCCGACGGCCCGAGACGGCCCAAGAGCCCCCAAAGATCGCCCCAAAATCGCCCAACAGGCCTCCAAGATGCCCCAGCACGGCCTGAGAGCCCCCAAAACGCCCCAGGAGGGCCCCAAGACGGCCCAAGAGGCCTCCAAAACGCCCAAGATGTCCTCCAAGACGGCCCTGGAGAACCCCTCAGAGAGCCCCCAATCGGCCCAGAGCGACCCCCAAGACAGCTTCCGACGGCGTCAGACGGGCCAGGAGCCCACCAAGACGGCCCAAGATGGCTCTAACATGGCCCAAGACGGCCCAAGACAAGAGGGCTTCCAGAAAGGCCCGAAGAGGCCAAACTCATTCCCCAATCAGAGCTTGCCTCTGTAGGGGTCCTAGAAGATTCATATGGTTAGGTGAGGTGCGGCGCCGATTTCGGTGGCCGACCCGGGTGCCCGGGTGCCCGGGTGCCCAAGGGTGCCCGGGGGTGCCCGGAGGTGCACGGGGGTGCCCAAGGGTGCCCGGCGGTGCCCGCGTGCCCAGGTGCCCGGGTGCTCTATCGCCCTATAGCCTCAAAGCCCTATAGCCCTAGAGCCCTATAGCCATATAGCCCTATAGCCCAATGGCCCAATAGCCCAATAGCCCTATAGCCCAATAGCCCTATAGCCCTATAGCCCTATAGCTCTATAGCCCTATAGCCCTATAGCCCTATAGCTCTATAGCCCTATAGCCCTATAGCCCTATAGCCCTATAGCTCTATCGCCCTATAGCCCAATAGCCCAAAGGCCCAAAGGCCCATATAGCCCTATAGCCCTATAGCTCTACAGCCCTGTAGCCCTATAGCCTTATAGCTATAGCCCGATAGCCCTATAGCCCTATAGCCCTGGAGCCCCATAGCCCTGGAGCCCTACAGTCCTATAGCCCTATAGCCCTACAGCCCTATAGCCCTATAGCCCTATAGCCCCATAGCCCCATAGCCCTAGCCCTCATAGCCTTCAGAGTCCTCGCAGACTTCAGAAACCTAAGGAGCAATTACAAAGGGATCTCGTGTAAGATCAAGAAACACTCGGATTGGGTTTTTCTCAGCTATCATTGATTTCCTTTGGATTTTTGAAAGATTTTGGCATTTGCTTCTTTTTGGTCTTCCGACGGGTCGAGACGGCCCAGGAGCTCCCAAAGATCGCCTACGAGGCTTCCAGAATGGCCCCAGAACGGCCCAAGAGACCCCCAAACCCACACGGCCCAAGAGGCCTTCAAGACGCCCAAAATCCCTCCAAGACGGCCCTGGAGCACCCCAAGACGGTTTCAAGTCGGCCCAGAGAGGCCCCCAAGACGGCTTCCGACGGCGTCAGCCGGGCCAGGATGCACTGAGACGGCGACAAGGGCCCCCGAGAAGCCCCCAAAGCCCCCCAAGAGGCCCAAGGAGGCCCCCAAGACGCATCCAGGAAGCTCCCAGGAAGCCCCCAGGAGGCCCCAGGAGTGCTCCCAGAGGCTCCCAAGACCTCCCCCTCCTCCCCCTCCTCCTCCTCCTCCTCCTCCTCCTCCTCCTCCTCCTCCTCCTCCTCCTCCTCCTCCTCCTGCTCCTCCTCGAGTTGCTGCCGGCGGGTGCCCGGCCCAGAGCGGAAGGGCAGCGACGGGTGCGCTGCCGGGGGGGCCACCCGGGGAGCGCGTCGTGTGCCGGGCCAGGACGGGGCCGGGGCCGGCCGAGCGGGCCCTTATAAGGGGCCTTCGGGGGCAAGGGCGGCCCGCAAGGCGAAGGCCGCGGGGAGAAGCCAGGAAGCCAACCGGGCCGGGCCTCCTCCTCCTCCTGATCTTCCCCCCCAGACCTCCTCGCGTCGTGAAAAAATCACGACGGGAGATTTTTCGCTATTTTCGGCCTCCGGGGGCCCTCGCCGGGCCTCGGGACCGTCAAAAAACGACTCAGGACGAAAAACCGGTCCCGGGGAATGGGTCGGGACCTCTGGGGGTCGCGTCACGAAAAAATCATGACGTCGGGGGTCTGGGCCGCCATCCTCCCCCAGGTGTTCCCCGAAATGTTTCCACAACGGTTGGGGGAACACATGGTCCGACAGCTCGGCAGAGCTCTTGCCGCAACGTTCGGCCACATGGGCGACTGCAAGAGGCACGGGGCGGCGGTGATTCGCCGCAGGCGTCTTCGATGATTGGAAACTGGGCCTCCTAAAACACACACTTTCAGCGAGCCTCTGGCTCCCTTTGCCCACTGCCGCTCTCAGGCCTGTAGCCAACTACGCCTCGCTGGTGGCCCCAGCGCAAGACCGCCGTCGTGCTGCCGCGAGGAGCGCTGCGCAGGGAACGCCGCGGCCCTGCTGCCCGTGGTGAGCCTCGGCCACGAGCAGGCTCCCGGGCACCCGCCCACGGAGCGGCCCGCAAGCCAGAGCCCCTCTTGAGTTTCGAGGGGGTACTTCGGCATCTTGGCTGCGGGGGGAGCCCGCGGCGGCGGAGGAAGACGGCCAAGAAGGCCCCTGGCCTTGGTCGTCCGTCTCCTCCGCGCTGTCCAGGGCGTCATGGAACGTCTTGGCGCACGCCTCGACGTCTTCGGAGCCCGAGGTGTACTTCTCCTTCGCCTCCCCGGAGCGGCCAATATCGAATCGATAAATCGGACCAGATCGCCATGGGCGTCGGATCGGGCCGCATCGGCACGAAGCCAGAACTGAACCGAACTGGCCGCGCCAGGATGCGCAACAGCGCTAAGCAAGTGATTGGGGCGCATCGGAATCGCGGGAGCACCAGAATCGAGCTTTCTGACCGGAGTGGCTAAAACGGTATCGGATCGACCACATCGACATCGGCCCCATGTCCCTGGCTGCGTTCTGGCCAGGACTTCGACGGGAATGCCACCGCCGCAGCGAGAAGCTCCCCAGAGGCCCCACACGAGAGAAGCACTTCCCAAAACTCCGCACCTCCGACAGGGGCCAAAGTCAGAGGAGCCTGTTGGCATCGCTAGCGAACCCGACCGGCTGGACCCGGAGGGGCTGCGGCCTCCTGCCTGCACTCCTCGGAGACACCGTGCCCCTGCTTGAGCCACCTGTACTCGACCACGTCCTCGGCCCAGCCGCGCACGCAGACCTCCTGTGAGGGGCAGAGAAGGGGGGAGGAGGAGGGAGGACGAGGAGGGAGGGAGGGAGGGAGGAGGTGGAGGGGAGGAGGAGGGGAGGAAGAGGAGGAGGAGGAGGAGGAGGAGGAGGAGGAGGAGGAGGAGGAGGAGGAGGAGGAAGATGGAGGAGGATGTGCGGGATGTGCGGGAGAAGCAAAACAGTAGCGCCCTCCTGCCCGGAAGCGGCCCTCACGAGTGGCAGCATTATCGTCCGCGAGCGTACGCCTACAGGGAAAAGCGTGGCCTTGGAGAGTCTGAGAGACGTGGGCCCCGCCATGAGCGCACCAGAGAAGCGGACCCGCCCCCCGAAGTGCGCGACCCCGACGGCAGGAGGGCCGCGAGGGGGGGGGCCGCGAGGGGAGGCCGGGAGGGGAGGGGCCGCGAGGGGGGGAACATGGCGGGGCGGGGCAGGCGGCTGCCCCGCTCCCCTGCAGACTGTGGGGCCGGTGCACTCCGAGCGGCCAAGCCAGGCCCTCTGCCTGGCCGGGGTGGCCTTTCTGCCACGCCCAGCACACGAGGCTGCATTTCAAAGAAGCCCGATCAAGGGTGCGGCCGAGAAGCGGCTGTCCTGGGCCTGGGCGAACCACCCTCTCTCCTCTTCTCCGAGCCCTCCTAGCTGGGGGCGCGGGGGGGGGGGTCTGCAAGAGAGCCAGCTCAAAATGTGAGATCGGCTGCCAGGCTCAGGACCTGCCACACTTCTTTACGCTTTGTGGCGTAAGTTCTAGTGGAGCCTACAAGCAGGGTGGCGAAGGCCGCCCCCGCTTTGGCCGCCCTGCCGGTCAACTGATTACCTCTAGCCGTACGCCTGATCTCGAGGTCGGTCGAGTGGAGGATCTTGAGAATGGCGAGGCCCCTTCTGCTCAGGGGCAGATCGCCAATCATCGTCCAGACGCAGGTCCCACCATCTGCATGCGAGCGCGCTACTTTGGTGCACGGGGCTCGACCCTTCACGATGCCTTGTCAATGCCCATCATGAGCCGGGATTGAACGTACTGGAGGAGGTGAAGGCAAGCAGCTCGCGACGAAGAACCGAGACGGCTCCCTAACTCCAGCAAGACATCCACATTCCGAATACACGTCCTCCCCCGACTCGGACGACGGGAAGACGAAGCGCCAGCCGAAACTTCTATCCTGGATGTCCTACTCCCAATACGTCTGGGAACGCATAGCCACTGTGCAGGCAAGCTGCACATTGGTGCACCTGGCGCTTCTCCTGCTGCATATGGGGGGGTCTCGGATAGGATGGTTGACCACGCCGCGAGAAACAAAGTGAGTCGCAATCTCTTGCCGTGGCCGCTCGGCCCAGGTTGCGGGCGCAGCCGCATGCTGTGCACTTCCACTTGGACGTGTCGCGCTTGACCCAGGGTTGGCGGGTCCAGTCATCCTTAGTCATCGTCATGTGTGAGGGCCGAGGAGGCTGCTCACCGGCAGGCGGATGCACGAAGCAGGCAAAATCCTGAGGCGAATCAGGCTCTGCAGGGGAAGTATGGAGCTCTGGCCGCGGATCAACAGTACCCACTGGGCCCCCTGCGAACCCGAATCGCTTGAGCTAAGATTGGCAAATGAAGGAGGATGATGATGATGATGATGATGATGAGGAGGAGGAGGAGGAGGAGGAGGAGGGGGATGATGATGCTGTTGATGTTGATGCTGATGCTGATGCTGATGACGATGACGATGATGATGCTGATGATGCTGATGATGATGATGATGAGGAGGAGGAGGAGGAGGAGGAGGAGGAGGGGGAGGGGAAGGAGGAGGACTGCGAGAGGGTTCAGGATGATCGGTTCGAGGCTCGAGTATCGAGGACCGATCAGATAGAGGACCGATCATCTGAGAATCGAGCAGTTCGAGGATCAAGGTTCGAAAAAGGAGACGGAGGAGGGGAGGGGAAGCAGGAGGCAGAGCGTCACCAGAGGACGTCAGGTATCCGAGTGCCTGTCGCTGCCGCGACCGATTGGAGCGTCGAAGATGGCCTCAGCGACAAAGCAGCAACCATTGTTATCCCAATAGGCGTTGGGCCAACCCTGGCTCCTGATCCGCCGTACTTTGGATGATTTTCCGACCTAAAATTGTATCGGAAATCGACGCCAAAGGAGCCTCAAGGGCGGAAATCGACGCTCAAAGGGGCCTCAAAAGTAGGGCGGAAATTTCCGCCCTACTTTCGAAATCGCCCAAAGTAGGGCGGATCAGGAGTCAGGGAAGTTTGGCCTCCTGCGGGGGGGCTGACCGACCGCCCCCCTTCTATGATCGAAGTCCTCGAAGATGGCCCCCAAGGCTCCAGAGAATGCCCCAAGAGGGCCTCAAGAGGCGACCAGGAGGCCTCAAGAGGCCCCCAAGACCAAAGAGACCCCCAACAGGCCCAAGAGGCTCCCCCGAGGCACCCAAGACGCTCTAAGAGGCACCCAAGACGCTCCAAGAGGTCCCCGGGACCGCCACGATTTCTGAATGGGCTGCTAAAGGTTGCGCGAAGCGTCTAGAATTACTGCTAACTCGGATTTTGACATGTCCTCTTGGAAAGAACAAGCAATGGAGAATGCTTCGACTCACGGCTGCAGTCTTCTCGGGCGCGCAAATGTGCTGGCTTATGAAAACAACAACCGTTGGAAAGGGGCCCTGAGGGGAGGGGAGGGGCGCCTTCCGGGCCACGCCCAGCTTCTTCAGGCACTTGTTGTAGCCCTTCTGCAGGAAGCTGTGCGCACCCTCGTTGTCGCTGCTCTGCAGCCGCTCGAGGGCCCACCTCCGCTTCTGACCCTCCGCCCCCCGCAGCCAGCAGACGAGGAGGCAAGCACCCGCTCTCCACCCCCCTCTTCTCCCCTTCTCCCCTCCCAGTCCTCTCTCCTCCCTCCGCCCTCGCTCCTCGCCCCCCCCCTCGCTACTCCCTCGTCTCTCCTCCCTCCTCCTCCCTCCTCCTCCTCCTCCTCCTCCTCCTCCTCCTCCTCCTCCTCCTCCTCCGCCCTCTGCCTCCTCGATTCTCCCTCCCCCTCCCCCCTCCCCAGATCCCCCTCCCTCGCTCCTTCCCCCCCCCCCTCGCTCCTGCCCCGTTCCCCCGTTCCCGCCCTCTCACTCCCCCCGTCGCTGCCCCCCCCCCGTCTCTCTCCCCCCCCGCCCTCGCGCTCATCCCCCCTCCACGGCGGCGGGGGCCGCGCCCGCGCGCCCTGCCGTGCCGGCAGCACGCCTCCACTGCTTGGAGCCCTCCGCGCACGCATTCAGCTCCGCCGTCTGCTCCTCTGCCACGGGGGTGCCCCATTCTCGGCCGTCGACCCCCGGGACCTCATCTCGGCTGCCACCGATGTCAACGTGGAAGGCTTCGGACAGTTGTTGGCAGAAGGGAGGAGGAGGAGCAGGAGGGAGGAAGAGCAGGAGGGAGGAGGAGGAGGAGGAGGAGGAGGAGGAGGAGGAGGAGGAGGAGGAGGATGATGAAACGCTCTCCAATGCGGTTCCGTGGACCCAGACTGGACAAACAAAGCACCAGAGGCTATGAGGCCGCCCGATTTCGGCCGCCACACTCCTGGAGAAGTTTACTGGCCAGATCTTGTAAAGTTTGGGGATATCGGGACCCTTCCGGGGACAGGCGGGCGGTCCACCCTGTCTGATCCCAGCGAATGATCCTGCCCCTGGCTGACCGAGTAAAAGTTTTGGATGACTGGGAGGCGGGGGAGACCCAGACCTGTCTCTGGGACTGCACCCACTTAAACCCCTGCTCCCTGAAAGTCTGACTACTAATGCTATCTGGATGTCGCTGCATGTGTGAAAGCCAGGACATGTTACCCACAAAAGCCTGCTTAGCCCAGTGGGTCTTGATCAGGCCTTTCATGGCCCGAGCTCGTCTAGTCTTGAACTGGGCTGGCGATTCGTGTGGCTGCCTACGAGTCCTGAGCATCCAACCCAAGATCTTGAATTGGAGGCTGTCTAGTGTCCTAACATTAGAAATCGATGGACTCCAAACTGCTGACCTAGACCGAAGAATGGCACAAGCCACGGGATCGAATTTAGAAAGCCGCGCGGGGAGAGGAATGAGGGGATTGCCGAGAAATCTAGAATTGGACCAGAAGGCTCTCAGGATGGAGTCGCAAGCTTTTCCTATGTCCGTCACCGTCGAACCAGTTGCAGCCAGAACGGGCCCGAGAACACGTAGCTCATGAACCTGCTTCCAACTGAAACCTTTGGGGTCCACGAAACCCCGGCCGGGCCTGAACGCCGGGGATGCCTTGATAACGCACTTTGGGCTCGGCTTCAAATCCAAGGAGTGCGCCTGCAGGAGAGCGGTCTCGAGTTCCATCATGCGGTCGATGGCTTCTTCAATGGGCGGCCCAAAAGTAAATGGGTTATCGCTCCACGACGCCATGCACAATCTGCTGCCCGAAAGCTGGAATCCAACCTCCGAGCGAAGCCATCTATCGCGGCACAACATCACACTGTCCTCGATGGAGATTCTGGCAAGGGCAGCGACCGTGAGGGCACCCGTATGGAGGCCCCGGGTCCTGGCGATGGGGTCCGTGGCGGTCCCGAGGATACGAACAGAAACTTTGGGAACCCGACGAAGACGAATCACGGCCGAGACGATTTCACAAGGCACTCCGCGGCCGAGCAAACCCCGGGCAACTGGTACATATCTTACTCGATCGTGGTGAGACCTGGTATCTGCCGACGCGACAACGGCACAATCGAGACGATCCCTGCCGATTTCGAGGACCTGGCTGACGGCGAAGAAAATATCAGTCACCTGCCCGCCCTTCCCAACCCCGAGGACGTAGTTTTTTAAATCGTTGTCTGCAGAATACTTCTCAAGATACGGCTCCAGGATCTCTAACACGTAGGCGCGGCCCAACTGGGCCATTCCCGGCTGCGGAACGATGGCCCGCGTGCCCTCCACCTGCCCCATCCCCTTCTCCTTGCTCCCGATCGCGGCATCAAAGATCACCTGGCTCCAGAAAGCGTCCTCGCACAGAGCACGCCGGAGAGCCGGCAAGATCCGCTCCTGCCAACCAGCAAGACGAATCACCGATACAGCGGCGCCTCTGAAATCGATCTTGGATGGACTACGAATCCTGGCCAAGCTGTCTATGAAAATGGACTGGCAAATCTGGAGCTTCTGGTTGTTAAGAATACCCAAGGATTTCAAAGCTAACCTTTCGTCCGAAACTTCGGCCGAAGGAAGTTGCCACCGTTTCGTATACTCCTCGAAGACCATCTGAGAACACACGGCAGGATCCACTACGACGCCGCCCGTCGGCGCACTGAAGCCCGTCACCAGCGGCAGGTGCTTCTTGCGTATCCACACTCTGGCCCCCGACGTCCAGTCGGAAACGATCTGACGACGAAGTCGAAAATCTGCCGAAATCTTCAGGCCTCGTAAAAGGTTCCTATGCTGTTCGACTCGTTCGACCTCGTCTAACGACACGCGGACTTGTCTCCTCAACTCCTTGATCCACATCGGCTCGCTCGTACGACGTCGGATCCTAGAAGAACCTGATCTCTGAGTGCCCTCCACCACCTCCGCCATCCTGTCCCCCCAGAAATCGAACGAGTCCTGGCGCGGGTCATCGTGATAGACGATCCTGGTCCCAAGACAAAAATAACCCGTTGATGAAGACGTGGGCCCAGAAAGTGAATCACTTGAAACTCCTCCTTGTCCTCCACCTCCCGGTAACGTGCAAAACGGTCCCGGGTAACACCAAACTCCTTCGGAAACTCCTTCGGAAACTCCTCCTTGTCCTCCAACTCCTCCGCGTTGTCGCCAGTCGTCGTGATAAAGAAGCTCAGAAGCAACTGGGTGCGAACGCATGGCGAAGGAGCACGCGTTCGTCGGATCCCCCGGTCGCCAATGCGGAGGCCTCCTCTTGTGCCTTGGACGGGGCAGCAGGAAGAGATCGGTGCCCAGGAAAGCGCGGTCCCCGGGAACTCCAGACCATTGAACAAACACGTCGACGCTATCCAACTTGCGGGAGGGCACACGGTCAATCATCGCTGGGCTTCCACTCTGGCGTCCATCGGGTCTCCTCGTGCAGTGCAGACGGGCATCCGACTCGTTGAAACGCGGCGGCTGAGCTCGCAATCCTAAGCCGTCGACAGCTTGAAGGTATCTGGACCACACGTGCTGCCAAGGCTTGAAAAGGTCCGCATTTTTGTCCCCCATCCATGTTAAGATAGCCACCCTCGGACGAGAACGAGCGAGAGAGATAGCATCAGAAAGACTGTCATCGAAGTGTTCTCCATGGGCGAGATGGCTGAAAACGATTGACCTCAACATACTCTCTTTAGAATCAGGGCCCCGGGTCGCGACGTCGATACGACACGACCTATCGCGGACCTCAATGCCCTTCACGCGTGGCCTTGCAGCAGAATGAATTAGCACGTAATAAGCCCAACCACCCTCACCACTGTAATGACGAAGGCGCCAGTGACGGCCTCGAAAAGGGCGACGCTGCGCATCTCCCGCGCCCCGGCGCTGGCGGTGGTCAGTTTCAAACATTGCCAAGATGCCCCAACGTCTCAGCTCTAGTGAATTGATAATCTCGGCGATCTCCTCATCCGTCGGGCCCTTGCCTTGGATGTTGATCGCGCCCACAAGTGCATGATGTTGCACTCACAGGTTCATGGCGTCATGCACGCCCTCGGCCCCAAGCTCGGTCTTGATCTGGCTGGCTGGCACGCTTGTGTCCCACTGGAAGGCCCCTTGCTGAACTTTGCCCACCGCGAAGTGCGTCCCGTTCACCGCACCATGAATTGTCCTCGTCCTGTCGCAGAAGATGGGCTCCACGGGCGTCGAAAGCTTCGGCAGGGCGTCTGCGAAGTAGGTCTTGGCCAAGCCCCAGACCCTGGCGGGAGCTCGCTCTTCTTTTGTCGAGATTGCCCCCATCCAGATGATCTTGTCGTTGTGGTTGCTCCTCTTCTTCATTGCCACGACTCTGTCCGCCACCGCCTGGCCCTTCGCGTTGTCCACAAAAGAGACCTCGACGATGGAGCCAAACGCGTACGGCGCTTTGATCTGGCGGATGTGCTCCTGCGGGCACTGCACTTGATTCAGCAACTCTCGAACATTTCCTTCTAGATCCGTGTCCCGGATGTTCCACCCAAGGTTGGTCACCACAAATGTCGTTCTCTGGCTTCGCGGTGTGGCTAACCAGCGCGGCTGGAACTTCGTAGATGACGGCGTGCCGGCCGTAGAGGACGCAGGACGACTCTTGATCTCCTCGATGGACTTCTGCTGTACCCTTTGCTCCGTGCGGAGTGCCGCCACATCCAGTTGAAACTGGTCGAGCGCGGCTTGGACCTCCGATTCCTTACCCGCGGACTCCTCCTGGCGCTTCGACAACTGCTGGATAAGAGCATCATGTTCGATCACCTTCTGCACCGTTGGGACTATGTCTTCTCTGAACTGGTTGATGCTGTTATTTATGTTAGTGAACATCCTCTCCATGAAATCTCTGTCGGTCTCGCCCGTCGGGGGCACGGTCTCCTTGTCAGATGGGCCCTTGCCGGCTCCTTTCTGAAACTTCTCAGGTGGAGCGCCCAATCCCAGAGTCGCGACTCTCCTCACGTTCGCGAGGGCCGTTTGGGGATCCCACCATGTCCGGCCTCCGCCCCCAGAGGCACCGGCCAGGCCAGGCGGCTCGGCGGGGCCTGCATCCACGGGCATCGGTGCAGAACCTTGCATCGCGCCAAGGGCCCGGCCCGCGGGCCTTCGCGTGCTCACTCGGCCCGCGGTGAGAAGGATTGGGCGGACAGGGGATCACCAGGGGGCGTGGCAAAATGAGGGGGGGGTCTGCCTGCAACGCCTTGAGCCAGCGAGGAGGAGGAGGAGGAGGAGGAGGAGGAGGAGGAGGAGGAGGAGGAGTTCCTTTCACCTAGGGTAGGCTGCGTTCTCAACAGCCTTGAGTCTGCGAGCGAGCGAGCGAGGCGGAGGAGGAGGAGGAGGAGGAGGAGAGGAGAGGAGGAGGAGGAGGAGGAGGAGGAGGAGGAGGAGGAGGGCCTTGTAGCCCCTGCGCCCAGGTGCTCCCCACCACCAGCTGCAGGGGGGGGCGGGCCCGAGCGCGCCGTCCGCCACGCGGCAGACGGTTCGCCACCAGATGCTCCACGATCCACGGGAAGTATATCACGATCTGCGGGGTCATCACGGATGTCAGCGTGGTACACATTCAGATCCACGCGAACATCATCAATATCGACGACCAGTGCCTCGAGATCAACGGAAACTGTGAGACCTACCCACCCAGGTGGAGACCTACAGGCAAACATGCCGATAGGATACACGCATAGAAGAGTACGGGTGAGAGCATGCGCGGCCAAAACATCGAGTGGGGTACGACGTCGGACATGGGATACAACTGTAATCCGACGACATCATGAGAGGCCTCCTAGATGGGGTCGGAGTAGATGGGGTCGGAGGATCGCGCCGCATCGCCGATACATTGGCGATGCATCGGCGATGCACAGGCGATGCATCGTCAACGTCGGCGATGCATCGGCGATGTCGACGTGAAGCAATCGGGCCCCATATCGAGCCGCATCGGCGATGCATCGGCGAGGCGGCGCGGTCCTCCGACCCCGTCTACTCCGACCCCATCTGGGAGGCCTGGAATCATTATCATTGCCACAGCCGCCCTCGCGATGGCGTCCAAGTGCGACAGCAATCACAACACACAGCACGACACCAAGTACGACACCATAAAGTACGACTCTAGGCGCGACACGACCGAGCAACCCGAATGGGTTGCCAAGCACATCGTCGTGGAGAGACTGGTGGACCACGGCTACGCCGCCCACGACGATGACGACCACGACGCCTACAACGGGCACAACGAGTACTACGGCTACGACGACTGCACCACGCACGGCTTCCTCTCCCTGCCGCCCACCATCTGGTTTTTCGAAAGGGAGCAACATAATTTCGAAGGCCACCAGCAGACCCACGAGGGCCACCAGCAGAGCTTCGACGGCAAGAAGCAGAGCCTCGAGAGCCAGTGCCTGAGCTTCGAGGGCCACCAGCAGAGGCCTCGACGACAAAAAGCAGAGCTGCGAGGGTCACCAGCTGAGCCACGAGGGCCACCACACAGAGCTCCGAGGGCAAGGAAGCAGAGCCTCGCGGCCCCATCGGCTGCTCTTCGAGGGCCACCGGCAGAGCTGCGAAGGCAAGAGGCGGAGCTTGCAGGCCACCAGCTCGGCCTCACGAGCCGCCGGCCGAGGTTGGAGAACCACCAGGCAGAGCTGCAGGGACCACAGGCCGAGCTGCCAGGGACCACTCGCAGAACTGCGAGGGCCACGAGCAGGTCTGCGAGGACCACCGGCCGGGCTGCGAGGACGACCAGCCGAGCTTCGAGTGCCACCTGCTGAGCTACGAGACTTTTTTTGTTTTGTTTTGTTTTTTTTGTAGCTAGCCAGGAGGGCGACGAGGGAACGAGACTCACCAGACTCACCGGCCGAACTACGAGAGCTACCGGCACCAGCCTCCCTGCCACCTGGCTGGAATAGCGACATAGAACTCCAGCTGCGGATCCGCACCATAGAGGCCGTCTATGAGGCGGGCCGCACCTCCTACGACGAGTACAAAGAGCGCATCGCCATTGCGCACTGCTGTGCGAGAGGCCTGCTTACGGCTCTACAGGAACTACCATATGATCTTCGCGTGCCACCTCACGATGATGTCGCGGCTGGCCCTCACAGTCAGCGCGACTGGCCTGCCTGAAGCCGTCAGACTACGGACCAGCTTACTGTGCCATAGTGCCTACAGCGTTCACTCGTATGTAGCGTACCCCGTATACTGCCAAACTATGTCTACAGCGTTACGGGCTAGGTGCACCGTGCCGCAACTGGCAAGGTACTGCGCCATCATAGGCATAAACGATACCTGTAGAGTGACCCCGCCGCTCATCCATACCCCCTTCCTCCTCCTTTTCGCTGTCGTCATCTTGTCAGTGTCGTGGTACACGTCGTTAGTTTCTCATCGTGCTCATTTGTAGTTGTGCTCGTTTTTGATTGTTCCTGGCCCCCTAGTGGCGGCCAGGAAGAGGCCCAGGACATAACAATTAGACATGAGAGGATCCTGGCCCCCCCAAAAAATCCAAGAACTCTCGAAGAAACACAGGTGAACAGTGTGTATCCTCCTCCCTCCCCCCCCTTCGGGGATCTTCGCCCCCTCCTCCTCCTCCTCCTCCTCCTCCTCCTCCCTCCTCCTCCTCCTCCTCCCTCCTCCTCCTCCTCCTCCTCCTCCTCCTCCTCCTCCTCCTCCTCCTCCTCCTCCTCCTCCTCCTC